AGAAGTGACGCACTGTGAGCACCACATACGTCACAAATAACTGCTAAATAGCACGCATGATTGGCATATAATCCCAATCACGAATTGAGCCTTTCTGTTATGATCTGTCTCAATAATATTAGACTAAAAATGGAGGAACACAACTGCAGAAGTTATAGCTAGAAATATACCTTTAAGAAAGACAAAAAGAACGTCTAGTATTATAACTTGAGAGGTTTTATTTATCTCTTAATAAATCAAGTTGAAGACAATTTATCTCATACTTCCAGTTTTGGCATGAAGGAAAAAAGAAAAACGTTATGCAATCCTCTTGTTTGCATTAAAAAGAAAAAATAATAATAGTGTACTCTCTTATACGAATTTGTATTTAAAATCAATTATAATTAGAGTTAATGAGTGGCACATAGAAATTGATTATCCTTATATGCAGGTTGCAGCAATAATTAAACTTTATAATTGTCACATAGCAATTGATTATCCTTATATGCAGGTTGCAGCAATAATTAAACTTGATAATTGTCACATAGAAATTGATTATCCTTATATGCAGGCTGCAGCAATAATTAGAATATATAGAAGTGATACTTAAGGTTTCACTTGATCTTCCTGTAACTGTAGTAGAATTTTGCAGGTATCAGTAAGAAGATGAATGATCATGGCGTAGTTGAAGATCCATAATACAAGAGTCCCTGCTGGAAACAGATGCTGAAGAGAACAAGGTGAACAAGGCTGGAAGAAGCAAAAGAGGTAGCTCAGCGTGGAGTCCGTCGTCGGATCAAAATAACTCAGCGATTTGAGTTTGGCGTGGCTTCCCTATAAGGCAGGTGAGTGGAGCGTCATCGGAATGGGAGGAGCTTGCTTCTGAATGCTAAAGTAACTTCAGTGGAGTGTGGAGTTATGGTAATTATATGACACTTTCTATTGGACGGGAACACCTCATGTGGCCGGAAATTAATCCGGCGCCAACATATAAAAAAGATCACAGAAGTCTACAGGATACAGCCGGCTGAGGAAGCTTAATTTTTCAGCAAAACGCGTTTTGACAACAGGGTCTGCACTTATTGGACTATTCACAACTTTGCTTTTATACTTTATATTGTTTGTTTTTATACATATATTTTTAATATTCAATAAATCACTTTTGGATTCATCCGGTGTCCAGATCTGACCTTGTGACTTCTGCACATCATAAGGGGAGTGTCACGCCATAATTTGACACCTTGCTTTTCTACCTCAGAGCCAGGCTTTTCAGGCTCCGAATAAGTTGAGCTTAAAATCCTTATATATATGTTAAGTCATTATTATTTGAAACTACTGTAGGCTCTTTATTCCTTTTTATGTCCAAAGAAAATTCACCTATAATCTACCTATAATCTACCAGAGGTGTGATGTTGCTAAGAGCATAAAGGTTCCTTCGACTGAGCCAGTTTTTATACAGGCTCATGTTCATGTGAGTTGATATGCCACTAATATACTGAGCAATTAACACTTTATACCATCGGCACTATATTCTCGATGTGTTTTTATTCCATGTATTTCATCTGACGCCACACTATATGGCTCAAGGGGTAAGCATTATCATTTACGCACTGTTTCCTTTTCACCTAGTGCTCCACTCTCATATAGATCTGGTATCTTTATGTCCCCTATTTATCACGAGTTTAGGTGTGGGGAGGAGGTAGTCCCACACGAGTGTTGTTAGAGCTGCTCCTTTATATATTTTAAGCGCTATAGACAGACTTGTCTACCCACTTTTCCATATCCTCAATGAGCGCTCTGAAAATTGGTCCGTAGTTTTGTTGGTATAGTTGGGAAGGATCCACTGTCAGCCAAACGCCCAAATATTTGATATGGTGGTGAGCTATATGGATGTTGTATGTCTGACCAATGTGTGCCATGTCCGCTGCCAAAAGGCCAATAGGAAGGGCACTTGATTAGCTTAGGTTAACTTTGTATCCTGCCAAGTCGCTTTATTTCCACTGTACTTCTGTCAGTGCTGCCATAGATTCCCTGCAGTGGGTTAAAGTCAGCAGTACATCATCATGAATCCTGATGGCAAAAATTGCTGTTTTCCAACCAAGATTGGATCATATAGCTTGCAAAAGAGGCTCCAAAGAAAGAACAAAGAGTAGGGGCGATAGGGGACACCCCTGTCTGGTGCTGTTACTCAGTTTAAATTGTGTGATCAGTGCTCCTGAGATCCTAATCTGTGTTCTAACATTTGTATACATAACTCTGATTGCAACTATAAATGGATCAGGAAAGCCAATTTGTGCCAGCAGTTCAAACAGATAAGGCCATTTGACCCTGTCAAACGCCTTCTTGGCATCAATTGACAGGATCAATGATGGTGTTTTAGTGGTGACCTGCCTCCAGATGATATCTATATTGCGTTTAGTATTTTCGAATAGTTGCCTGCCTGAGATAAATCCCACTTGATCCGCTAGCTAGAATCTTTGCCAAAAGTTTTAGTCATGATTTATTAAGGAAATTGGTAAAAAATTTGCTGGGGCAGAGTTTTTTTTGCCGGGCTTCAGCAATAATACGATGTCTCTATCTGGGATTCCACCTTCCATAAGATCATTAAACCAGGACTCCAGGTGGGGTGACAACTCTTCTCTGAATGTTTTATAATAACTACCATCAAAGCCATCTGGACCTGGAGCTTTATTACCTTTTAGGGAAGAAATGTCCATATCAATTTCTTCGATCGAGATTTGTTTCCATAAATTATCTGAATCTACCTCCTTTATGGTTGGTTGGTCCAAATGGGATAGAAAAGCATGGATATTATTGATTTCTGTCTTAGTATTAATGGAGTCTTGGCAAGTGTGATTGTACATTTTCGTGGATAAATCTGTAAATACCTTAGCCATATTGCCAGAAGCAATTTGGTAGGACCCCTAAGGATCTTTGATTTTTGTAATGTGGGTGTTTCTTTGTCTCAGATGAAGAGATCAGGCAAGCAACGTGTCCATTTTTTTTTTTTTAATTCTTTATTTTGTGTGTGCAAGAGTTCACAGGTATGCCGTGTTGCCACAATAGCAGTCACGTGCGCATTTTCAACATACAATACACATATGGCACATATAAGGTCTGCACATTTTTTATATAATGATAATGGTAAGGTAGTTAAGCATGTGGTGCTCCCACTATTTTCCCCACTAGTGTTTTTAGTTTAAGCTATTGGAGCATAAGAGCAGGCTTAGCTTATTTAGCTTATGATTACGTTTTGTTTCACAAGATTTTGTACGACATATGGTTAAATATATACAGGCTGTAGTCATCTGAGTATGTGATCTCTAGTGTGTCGTTTGGGTAAGGTTGTTTAACTCTGGCTCGTTCTTCCTCGGACGCTTGGTTAAGGTTGCTTAACTCTGGCTTGGTTTGCCTCGGATGCCACCCTGAAATGTGTGGAGGTCTGTGGGGTTGGTTTCCTTTGATACCCTGCAGGGGTCTGCATATTTACTAATGGCTGGGTTCCTCGCGGCTTGTGTGCGTTGTAGTTATCTGCAGTTGTGTGTATCTGCTGTGGGTAGTGTATTGTATTACATGTATGTGTTGCTTTGCTAGTTTGCTGCTGTGTATGTCCTAGTGTGTATGTGTCTGTGGGTACCATCATTTGCAGCGTGTGCAGGGCTGGGACAGTGTTTTAGTGTCCATCTTGAGTCCAGGAACAACGTCCATCGTTAGATGGTGCCTAATCTCGGTAGTAGGCGCACAGGGCCTCAGGGGACCAGGCAGCAAAGTCCATTTGTGCTTTTCTTAGGGTGTTGGGCCCTTCTGGGGGTCTGTTTCTGCAGCTCGTGATGTGAGTGCTTCCTTTGAAAGTCGCTGTCCTCCCCATGTATGGGTCACTGTGGATCTCGATGCGGGGTGTCCCCCTGTGTTGCCGGGTCTGCTGTTTCTGAGAATGAAGCTTCTGGGTGGCTGCAGTCTGGGAGGGCTCCTGTGGCAAGGTTGCGTGGTTCGTGCGCTGGTTCCCCTCGTTTCCCGCCCTTTGCTTTGTGGCTTGCGAGTACATGAGTTTGTTGCCGCTTGTGGTAAGTTGCTAACCCATCGTGAGGGCTTGTGTCATCTACCAACAGGCTCTTCCGCTTGGCGTGCCCTGCAGTACCTGGTGCATCTTTTTTTGCGTGTCTGCGTGGTTGCGGGCTGTCCACCATTTTGGTGTGCTCCATCTGGGCTGTGCTTTGTGGCCCAGTGTGCATTTGAGCACGGCAAACAGCATTGGTAGTCGCCCGTGGGGACCGGGATAACCCCCACCGGTCCAAAGGGGGGGGATCGCATGAAGCCGTTCGGAGACCCGGGGGGAGCGGCCGTCTCTCCCTGGCTCAAGCTCGTGCAGGCCCCAGGCCTTGGTCGGGTTACTCCAGTGCCATACCGTGGCATGAGTGGTATCACCGTGTGTGTCCCCATCTTGTGGGCAGTTTGGTTGCAGTTTTGGGTCGGTGGCTGCTCAAGGCACTGAGTTGGCTCCGATTCTCTGGCCCAGATCCTGGAGCTCAGACAAAACATGTCTGATCTGTTCAGCGGTCAGGCTCTGCCCCCCCAGCAGCGTGTCCATTTTATTTTATTTTTCACAGTAAGTCATCTTGGACCATATGATATCTCTTGCCATGTCTTCAAGGAGTGTTTTGTGAAACGATAACCGCAATGCGCATACCGCCTTCAAGTTGTCAAGTTGTTTATGTTTTTGTTCTGCAATCCTCAAAGAGTCCAGTAAGGATGTGTGAGAGAAAATGTGGTTTGGTAGTTGATGGCATATACATTAGGCCTGAGTTACTGAACAGCAGCCTGAGATTTGAGAGTTAAATGTCCCAGGGAGAGATGTTAGGTTTGCAAGATGCATCACTGGTACTCTGCAAACCACGGTATTGGTCCCTGGGGTGGAGCACTTGGAGAGCAGGGTGGGCCAGTGCTCCAATAGCACCAGCTGCTAAGTAACAGTCGGACCAGAACTTTTATTTTGCTTAATAGTTTCACTTATGCCTAATTGCACCTCACCTATATCTGATCAATTAGCTAGCAGGCTTTTAAAAAGAAGGGATCAGCATGCTGCAGAGTGAGGAGGAAAAGCCAGAGGAATGGTGTCTTGCAGTTATACTTTTTGTAAATTGGCAAGTGGGAAAGCCACCCAATTCCAGATAGGGATTTGCTGTGTATAGTAAGTGCTCAAGCAAGAGCAAGGAATTTTGTTTTGTTTATTTTTCATTTTTGAAACACCTGTATATATATTTCACCGAATAAATCTGAAAAACTGAGCTGGATGTGTCCTGGACTTTCATTACCCTAGAAGGCTGTGGTTACAAGATCTGTGACAAAATCCTACCTGGAACAGAGGTGGTGTGTTACATATGGTGGAGAATGTGGGCAACCACGTAAGTCTGAAGGTAAAAGTCTTTTAAAGCTCAACATGGAGGATGTTATCAAGGCTCTGATCCAATCCACCTCTGTGCAACAGGAGGCTAACAGGAGAGCTGCAGAGAACAGTGCAGACCTGCAGCAATTGGTGCTGGCCCAGGCAGAGTGTGCTAAAAACACAGATAGAGTGCACCGAGTCCTTGGTGAAACAGATTGCTGTGACACAAGCTGAGATGTTTAAAGTAGCCCGTGAGGAGCAGCGAAATGCCACCCAGGGACTACAACAGGAAATGCAAGCGATCTCTAATAAGCTGAATGGAGACCCGAATGGGAGATACCAGGGGCCAAAGGTGATTTGGGCGAGCCACTACCTTCAGAAAATGACCGCATCTGACGATGTTGAGGCATACCTTCTGGCATTTGAACGCACTGCTGAGAGGGAGGGATGGCCGTCTGGTGTGTGGGCAAGCATACTGGCACCGTTCCTAAGTGGAGAGCCGCAGAAGGCATACTATGATCTAGAACCAGCAGATGCAAGTAACTACAGCAAACTGAAAGCTGAAATCCTGGCACGACTGGGTGTAACCTCTGCGGTACGTTCCCAAAGGTCTCACTCATGGACATATTCTTCTGACAAGGCTGCACGATCCCAAATGTTGGACCTTATACACCTCGCACGGAAATGGCTCCAGCCTGAAATACATTCAGCCAGCCACATTGTGGAGACCTTAGTAATAGACCGCTTTTTGCGTGGTTTACCAGCTGCTCTGTGTCGCTGGGTCAGCCAAAGTGATCCCAATACAGCAGATCAACTGATTGCCTTGGTGGAAAGGTATGTGGCTGCAGGAGAACTACTACGTCCTACTTCACAAGAAAACCCCCGCAATCCTAAGCCCCAAAGATTCTGCAAGACCCGATAAGACTGCTCAGGGTTTAAGGGGAGCTGAAGAGCTGCAGCTCTATACACAAAACACCAGGGACAATACCTCAGGAACCAGGGGGGCATCCAGGTATAACAGGCCTGGGAGAGGAACTAATTGTTGGTCAGATTATGTTATTAAGTGTTTCAAGTGCAAAGAGGATGGTCATATGGCCAAGGATTGTCCATTGAAGGATTTATCTATGGAATGCAATATGGGCAAAGATGAGGGAACCCATTCCATTTTATTCAACTGTTATGGTTCTGATAATAATGACTTTGATAATCACCCTCATAAGTACTGTGTAACTGTGAATGGAAAAATGTCTAGAGCATTACTTGATTCAGGAAGTATGGTTACATTGGTAGGAGAGTCTATAATACCTTGTGTAAAACCTGATCATGTTCAGAAAGTAGGCATTATCTGTGTTCATGGTGATAAAAAAGAATACCCCACTGCAGAAGTAAATATTGGAACCGAGTGGGTGTAGTACCTGGATTAGCCCATGAGGTAGTGATAGGTAGAGATTTTCCCAATTTTTTAGAATTATGGAAAGCTGTAGAAAAGACGAGCCAAAGTTCATCAGAAATAAGTAAGTCTACCGAAGATATTGTGTTTCCTTTCACCAATATTGACTTAGATTTTGACCACTGTGACAGACAAAGAAGGAGAAGGAAAAAATACTGCCCTAAACCAGTTTTAGTGGGAGATAACACAGTTCAAACTACTGAGGAACCTATTGGCACTGCAGAGCAGGACAATGACTTATTTGACGTTGGGATCAGTCCAGGTACCTTTAAAAGTGTTCAGTGGGTGGATCCCACTTTAGTGACCGTTAGAAATAATATTAAAGTTATAAATGGGGTTGCTACTCAACCAGGGGAAGCATTGCCGTTCCCCTATTTTGAAGTACAAAATGACCTAATGTACCCTGTAGAAAAGAATGATTCAAATATCATTAAGCAGCTGTTGGTTCCCCAGACTTACCAAAAAAAGTACTAAAGTTGGCTCACAGCCACATATTAAGGGGACACTTGAGAGTTGAAAAAACTAGAGAGAGAGTCCTTAGAAGATTCTACTGGCCTGGAGTTTTTGCTGCGATAACAAACTACTGCTCCTCCTGTCCTGAGTGCCAGTACAGGGCTCCTTTCAAAGATTTTCATAGTCCACTTGTACCCTTACCCATAATTGATGTGCTTTTTGAAAGGATCGCTATGGAGGGGCCACTGGTAAAATCCACTAGGGGGCACCAGTATATACTAGTCATCTTGGATTATGCTAACTGATACCCTGAGGCCATACCCTTGCGTAATACCTCTAAAAAGTCAATAGCTAAGGAACTTATGTTGATGTTCAGCAGGGTGGTTATCCCTAAAGAAATCCTGGGATATTTCAACTGCAGTTGGACCCTTTTCAGTCTATATTTCAACTGCAGTTGGACCCTTTCATGTCCAGAGTCACAAAAGAGTTGTGCAGGCTCTTGCAGGTTAAACATCTTATGACCTCAGTATACCACCCACAGACTGATGGTTTAGTAGAGAGGTTCAACAAAACCCTTAAGAGTATGTTGCGCAAAGTAATTGATGCAGATGGGAAAAATTGGGATTTTGTTATTGCCATATCTGCTATTTTCCATTAGGGAAGTTCCACAGGCCTCCACAGGTTTCTCTCCTTTTCAATTATTATATGGGCGACATCCACGGGGAATACTAGATATAGCTAAGGAGACCTGGGAACAAGAGACTACTCCTCGAAGGAGTGTGATTGAACATATTGCTCAAATGCAGGATAGAATGGCCACTGTCATGCCTATTGTCAGGGAACACATGCTGGAAGCCCAGCAGGCTCAGAAAAACAGCTATAATCGTAATGCTAGAGTCAGAATGTTCCAACTTGGAGACAGGGTATTGGTTCTGGTCCCTACTGTGGAGAGCAAGTTCCTTGCAACTTGGCATGGACCATATGAAATAATAGAAAGAGTCAGTGATGTCAATTATAAAGTTAGACAACCAGGAAGACGAAAGCCTGAACAACTGTATCATGTTAATCTGTTAAAGCCTTGGAAGGACAGGGAAGCCATAGTTGCTTTAAAATCTTCAGAACCTCCAATAGCAGAGCCAGAGGTGAACTTACCGGAGACTCTGTCTGTACATCAGAAGCAAGAGGTCAGGGATTTCATCAGAAGAAATAGGGATGTTTTCTCTGTAGTTCCAGGAAAGACTAAAATGATTAAACATGACATAATAACTGAACCGGGGAAAAGCGTTAATCTCAAACCTTATAGAATCCCTGAGGCCCAGAGGGAGGCTATAAACTTAGAGGTTGAAAAAATGTTAAAACTCGGAGTGATTGAAGAGTCCCAGAGTGACTGGAGCAGTCCTATTGTATTGGTGCCAAAACCAGATGGCACATGGAGATTCTGTAATGATTACCGCAAATTAAATGGCATCTCAAAATTTGATGCCTATCCCATGCCAAAAATTGATGAGTTGATAGAAAGACTGGGTAAAACTCGTTCTTTAACAACCTTAGATTTAACAAAGGGTTACTGGCAAGTCACTCTCACTGAACGAGCCAAAGAAAAGACTGCCTTTTCAACACCCAATGGCCTGTTTCAGTATACTATATTGCCATTTGGGTTACATGGTGCACCTGCCACGTTCCAACGAATGATGGACAGAGTTCTAAAACCTCATGTTCGTTATGCTGCAGCGTATTTGGATGATGTTATTATCCACAGCGCAGATTGGGAAACCCACCTCCCCAAAGTTTAAGCAGTGCTTGATGCTATTCGCTCGGCAGGCTTAACTGCCAATCCTTCAAAGTGTACGATTGGCTTGGAGGAAGCAAAGTACTTGGGGTATTCAATTGGGAGAGGATTGGTTAGACCACAGACTGCCAAAATGGAAGCCATCCAAAAAATGGCCACAGCCACTTACGAAAAAACAAGTAAGGGTGTTTTTAGGCTTAACATGTTACTACAGGAGATTCATTCCAAATTTTGCTACTATTGCTGCACCTCTAACAGACCTCACTAAAGCAAAGTCGCCTGTTATAGTTAAATGGTGCCTAGAAGCTGAAGTAGCCTTTAAAGATCTAAAGGAAGCTATCTGTAGCCAACCTGTCTTAGTCACCCCTGATTTTTCTAGAGATTTTATAGTGCAGACTGATGCTTCTGAAGTGGGATTAGAGGCAGTCCTTTCACAGGAATACCAGGGTGAAGAACACCATGTCTTTTTTTTAGGCAGGAAGTTGAACCCACATGAGAAGAACTACTCCATTGCTGAGAAGGAATGTCTTTCCATTAAGTGGGCTTTAGACTCTCTTAAGTACTATCTGTTGGGGAGAAAGTTCAGATTGGTGACGGACCATGCACCACTTACGTGGATGTGTCAGAACAAAGAGAATAACTCCAGGGTTACCAGATGGTTTCTGAGTTTACAGTCTTTTAATTTTACGGTTGAACACAGGGCAGGTCTAAAGCAGGGAAATGCTGATGGGCTTTCCAGGATACACTCTCTGTTGTCCATGGTCGCTTAAACCCATAAGTATGAGCTGGGGGGAGGATATGTGAGAGAAATGTGGTTTGGTAGTTGATGGCATATACATTAGGCCTGAGTTACTGAACAGCAGCCTGAGGTTTGAGAGTTAAATGTCCCAGGGAGAGATGTTAGGTTTGCAAGATGCATCACTGGTACTCTGCAAACCACGGTATTGGTCCCTGGGGTGGAGCACTTGGAGAGCAGGGTGGGTCAGTGCTCCAATAGCACCAGCTGCTAAGTAACAGTTGGACCAGAACTTTTATTTTTATTAATAGTTTCACTTATGCCTAATTGCACCTCACCTGTATCTGATCAATTAGCTAGCAGGCTTTTAAAAAGAAGGGATCAGCATGCTGCAGAGTGAGGAGGAAAAGCCAAGGAATGGTGT